ATAGTGAGTAGTGTGTATAGTTTCAGTATAGTGAGTAGTGTGTGTAGGTTCAGTATAGTGAGTAGTGTGTGTAGGTTCAGTATAGTGAGTAGTGTGTGTAGTTTCAGTATAGTGAGTAGTGTGTGTAGGTTCAGTATAGTGAGTAGTGTGTGTAGGTTCAGTATAGTGAACAGTGTGTGTAGTTTCAGTATAATGAGTGGTGTGTATAGTTTCAGTACAGTGAACAGTGTGTGTAGTTTCAGTATAATGAGTGGTGTGTATAGTTTCAGTATAGTGAGTAGTGTGTATAGTTTCAATACAGTGAGTAGTGTATATAGTTTCAGTATAGTGAGTAGTGTGTGTAGGTTCAGTATAGTGAGTAGTGTGTGTAGGTTCAGTATAGTGAGTAGTGTGTATAGTTTCAGTACAGTGAGTAATATGTGTATTTTCAGTATAGTCAGTAGTGTGCGTAGTTTCAGTATAGTGAGTAGTGTGTTTAGTTTCAGTATAGTGAGTAATGTGTGTTTAGTTTCAGTATAGTGAGTAATGTGTGTTTAGTTTCGGTATAGTGAGTAGTGTGTGTAGTTTCAGTATAGTGAGTAGTGTGTTTAGTTTCAGTATAGTGAGTAGTGTGTTTAGTTTCAGTATAGTGAGTAGTGTGTTTAGTTTCAGTATAGTGAGTAATGTGTGTAGTTTCAGTACAGTGAGTAATGTGTGTGTAGTTTCAGTACAGTGAGTAATGTGTGTAGTTTCAGTACAGTGAGTAATGTGTGTGTAGTTTCAGTACAGTGAGTAATGTGTGTGTAGTTTCAGTACAGTGAGTAATGTGTGTGTAGTTTCAGTACAGTAAATAATGTGTGTGTAGTTTCAGTACAGTGAGTAATGTGTGTAGTTTCAGTACAGTGAGTAATGTGTGTGTAGTTTCAGTACAGTAAGTAATGTGTGTAGTTTCAGTACAGTGAGTAATGTGTGTGTAGTTTCAGTACAGTGAGTAGTGTGTGTGCACTCAGTTAGCTCACACTGTACAGCAAAGGAATTACTAATTCGTGACCACGAGGAAAAAACTGAGGTACAGTTACAGTGTAGTAACATCTAGTAACTCAAGCCTAGTGAAATTCCTAAAATTTTACTTTAAACGCTGTAATGCTAGAAAAATGTAATCAGGGTACCTTGGAAAACTGTGTTACTGCAGTGTAGTTACAGTGTAATGAACTCGAAACTAAAAGCTGATGTAAGTCGCACATTGACAGATAGGGTAAAGGATCCGTTTCTGTAGGAGAGACTCAATCTCGTTTATCTTAATCGTAGATGTCTCATTCTGTTACTAACATAGTTACCAAGGTGACGGGTTTACTTAATGTATTGTATATAGAGTCTAGGAACGCTAATTACTAGGCCACAACCAGCCCCAGTTTGCAATAAAAATCGTGAGTATACGTTTTTTATTATCGTTTTGCCGACATTTCAATCATCATTTTACGAGAATCAAGTTGCCTTCAGTTTATGTTTGACATGAAGAAAACTTTGGGAGGCAGTAAGTGTACGGACTTAAAACGCTAAAATACGAGGCTCGATTCCCTACGGTGGAAATATCTCGGATAGCCAGTTGTATAGCTTTACGCTAAAACAACAACAGCAAAAAGTTTGAGTTAACTTATTTTTATTTTGTCGAGACTTGCTTCATAGAAGTTGTCTGAATGCATGTTAGTGGGCGTGGTTTTGTGATTATGTTTTGTATATATTTAGGGAATCTTAAATATTAAACTAAAGCATGCTCATGTTTTTAAAGTAAAACTTATCTGATGAGGTATTAATAGGTAATTTTTATTTTTTCTTACTCATGAATTAGCTCAAACGTGTCTCGTTTACCCATTCATTACCCATTCAAGCCGTCTCCAACCATTATTAGTTTCAAAGCGGGTTCCTCGTCATTGTTTCAGTAAGAAATATTATAAATATATATTTCATAATAACAGAGGTATTGGGCTTCGATTTCCTACTTTTGGGATAAGAGTATTAATCTCGAGATATACTTCAATAGAGGAATCCAGTCAAAGAATAACGAATACTTTGTACACGTATTTAATCCTAGCCTAGACCTAATCCAGCATACCTATCTAGTGCCAATACTTGTTTGGTGAGACAGGAAATAAGACAATCAAAAGAATTTCTTTGTCCGTTCTCTTATCAGGTTCTCCGTCTTCTTATTTACAAATATTTCTTTCCGTCCGTGACACTTTAGCCTTGGACAGTTACTTTTCCACATGCTGGCTATTGAGGAGTCCTAAGGGGAGTGGTCAGTTTCCCGACCCCGTGAGGTTGGACCTCACAGATAATCTTTTGTTCTGTTGTCACATGACAGGAACCGTCGGTTTAGATATTTGACAAGCGCGATAAGCTCATGGTAGACCTCACGTGGTGTGGAAGCAGGGGAACCTGTACTTATGGTTAAAATAATGGACAAAGGTTGGTAGTCAGTAATCCCATTGAATATCTCTCTAACTGCTGGGTAAACATATATTATGTGAAGAAAGGAAGTTATCCTGGTTTTATAGTCACCAGCTGTATAGTTGAAGTCTATGCTCACAGAGCCTCTCGTCCAGTCACTGTCCACAATAATTTTTACAGCGAGGAATTTTATATAAACTGTTAGAACGCACAAAAGAATCAAAAGACTTAATCCGTAAAAAAAAACAAAAAAAAACAACAACAACAAACAAACATATATTAAAACCAAAAAAGGCAGAGCTGTAACAGAGAGTCATAAAGGAATATAAAAGATCGGACATTAAAAAGTTGGGGAGTAAGAAGAAGGACATTAAAAAGTTGGGGAGTAAGAGGAAGATACTTGAAACGAAGAAAGGTTACAGTAAGGTTGTTTTAAAGTCTGTCATCATATGCATGAAAAAGTGTTTCTTCTGTTCTATAACACTGTATAAGCTATGGACATCGTACAGTCTGTAAATAGAAACAAACGCTGTGGAACGTATCATGTCTCGACCATATTGCTTCCTTCGTTAACAACATATTAAAGGGTATCATAACCACAAGACTCTAAAGGCATTTTGAATAAATATGTTTTATCTTCGAACAACGTGTCTATGTATCTTGGAGAATACGAGAAAATAATTACATTAATCGCAGAAGCAACCTCACATAAATGGATGTTTAAATCACACAATTAGTAACATCATTTCTGGATGTTTTTCAATTGAGTTTTACATAATTAACTCTATTTGAGTTTGGCCCGACCTGGCCA